AAAGTTTAGGCCAATATATATATACAATATATATATATATATATATATATATATATATATTAGGACTATTTTTTTCTCTTTAAACGAAGGTTATTACAGACTTTAAGCATTAGTAGAGAAATCTTATATAAAATTCAAATTAATAAAACACCTTTAAAACAAACTAAAAACAAACAGAATTTTATCAATAAATGTTAATATTCTTAGCATTCAGTAGTAAAATTTCGAAAAGAAAAATATAAATCTTAAGCAGACGTTGTACTATAGTATTTAAACGTATCATACTTTCTTTACCTTGACAGCTGGTTTACCCTTAGTGTCTGCTGGCGCACCATATACACAAGCAATTAACATACAAATAACCAATGATTTTATTACTGTATCCATTGTATAGTCTAGGAATGAAATAAAAAAAAATAAAAACAAAAAAACATTCGATGATGAATTATGAAACGTAATAGCTTCATGCAACATGGCTACTTGTTATCAGTGCCTTAATATTATTACAGAAACTTACAAAAACAATAGTTCATAATTCATTGTTTCTTTCATTTCATTTTATCTTAAATCTTCATTTTGAAAATTAATTGCTAAAGTTAAGTTATTACATAGAACATCAATAAATTATGCATCATATAAAAATTCAATCTACAGGATACTGCCCAATATAGTTGAGTTAATTCATTAAAAACCTTATAGAGTATGGGGTACAAATAATCTGAAAAAATAAAAATAAAAACGTTTTGTTTTGCAACGTGTAGCTCCAAGACCTCAACCAGATCTTAGGCAATCAAATTTACTACTTATATTTATTATATTTTCATTCGTAGTACTTACAGACCTTATTAGCAAGACATTAAACATTTTATTAATTGGATTTTCGGAGGCTAAAAAACCAAATACATCAATAGACCAAAACACCAAACAAGAGATGTGTTCATGTATTTGATTTGCATCATCCATTCACTTAATTTTACTTTCCATAATTATCAATCGGTTAACTCCACCATTAGAAAGACTGATCTGTACATGGTTTAAGCTCCCAATCAAAGATAAAACACAGTTTCATTGGCGTATGTAATAAATAATAATAATAATAATACACATTTTTAAAGCGCCTATTAAAGCAAACGAAACTGACTTGTCACCGGAGCTGGAGGATGTTAGAAAGAAGTTGAACTATTTGAAGAGGAATGATTTAAGAGTAGATTTGAATAATTGCGGATCAGAAATGATACGTAGTTGAGGAGGCAGAGAGTTCCAGAGTTTAGGAGCAGAGAAAGAAAAAGAGCGTTCACCGGTACGAATATGCTTGACTCGTGGAGTAACAAGTTTGAGGGATTGAGAAGAACGAGTAATAAAACGGGAAGAAACCTGTTTGTCAATAAGCGAACAGAAATAAAGTGGGGCACGACCATGGATAGATTTTTAGGTGAGAAGAAGAATTTTGTAAATGATTCGCTTATCAACCGGAAGCCAGTGAAGAATGTTTAAAATTGGCGTAATGTGGGTGAACCTTTTAGACAAGAGCAGCAGAGTTCTGAAGTTTCTGAAGGTGTCTAATGCTAATAGCAGGTAAACCATTGAGCAATGCATTGCAAAAGTCAAGTTTGGATGAAATAAAAGCATGAACAAGAGAAGCAGCAGCAGAATATGAAATGTAAGGTCTAATGGAACGGATACGGCGAAGATGAAAGTAACTCGATCGGTATACAGATGATATATGGTTGCTGAAGTCAAGATGTTTGTCAAATATGACAAAATTGTTTGAATTTTATCTCATAGATATCCAGACACCAATTTGAGAATATGAACCTCAAGTGCCCGGAAATTACATTTTCATACCTTCAAAATCTCATATCATCAATTATTTTTTTAAATACAACTTATAGAGGGGTGTGATCGCACCCCGACCCCCCCCCCACTGCATCCGCCCCAGTTACCTAAGGATAATTTACTGAATAAAGGATTTATTCTTATAATAATTTGTGGAAGATACATAATCACATTACAGTATCATTAGCGGACCCAGGAATTTGAAAAAGCGGAGGCCCGTGGACGGACGTTCTCAGATGGAATGTTTATATTCTAAGGTAGGAAAATGTATGGCTATGGCATCTTTAGCTGGCCAGAAATGACACTCTCAGACTTAAACTTTTCTTTTCTTCTCCATTTAATTTTTATAAATATAAAAAAAATAGAGAGGGGCTGGACCGTTTGCCATCCAACCCCCTTTGAACAAGAACAACCACAAAGTAAGATTGTTTTCACGGAATAAGTTGCCTACATACAAAACAAAAACATCCAAGGTAACACTGCAGGCACAGAAGTTTCGAAATTAAGTGTCAAATTATTAAGTTATTTAAATGTTCCAAAAAGTGAACTTACTTTTTTGGTGTGTCAGTTTGAGTCTCGATGGTTTATCGTCAGTGAGTGAGTAACTGGAACTTGTATTTTTTCAGAATCTGTCTGAGTATTTATACTCTTCTGCTGGGAGTAAGAATGCGGATATAAAAAGTAATAAACATTATGAAAATGTAGGTAAACTCCCTTATAAGTTTTTTCAAGGACCATTTGGGTGTCGTAGTCTCTTGTAATTGATTTATTAAAGTGAACTTAGTTGTTCTCCTTATGACAGGAGAATTTGCTTTGAGTGTATAATTTATGCAAATAAAAAAGTAGCCGGTATATCTGCGGATACCGTGGTGAAATCAGTACATACTAAGGGGACGGGGTGAACAATAACAAATGATGGTGAAAAAAATTAAAAAGAAAAACGCTGATGAACGCAGATGAGAGGCATACCAACTCCTTCACCTCTATGACCAGCTGACCGCGAGGACATCGTCAGCTTTATTTTTTTTACTAGGGGAAGGTTGAGGAGATATTAAGTACTGTTCTCCTAGTAAAGAGTAACAAATCACATAAGTTACAGAACCACAATGAAAAACTTTTCTGAAAATGATTGTGTCATGCTGGTTGAAGATATTATTAAATAAATAAATTTACAGTTAAGAAATAACAAAAATAAAATTATGATAAGCAATAATAATAATAATAATAATAATAATAATAATAATAATAATAATAATAATAATAATAATAATAATAATAATAATACAGTAATAATAATCAAACTTCTTTTCAGAGACACTAGTCCATACAACATAAAAATCAAATGTTAATAAAAAAAATCACTAACGATCATCAAAAATGACCTAATATAATATAAATCGTCAAAGGTACATATACAGTGTTTATATAAGGACATGATGGAACATCGTAGGCTACCCTGTAGCTTTTCAACGAATAAAGTCCTATAAAATGACCTAAGTACGTAGTACATCCCAAAAACGATTTTCTCATTCATGATAATAGGAACACTATATCAAGGAAGTATTTTCTGTGATAGGGTGTACGATGATGACCTCTGCTAGCCCCTGGATTGCCATACGAAATTTGGGGGTTCCCCGCCTGAGTACACCAATCGCATATTAATTAAAGATGACATGCCGTGATGTTGACCGAGTTACCTGTAATGACCGTCTAGAAAGTTAAATAACCTCGTATGAACGCCTTTAAATTGAAAGAGGGTGTAAAATGATAAAAAGAAATAAAATTGGTAGCAAAGTGGTAAAATCAGGAATAATATTCATAATTAATGTATAGAATTTCAAGGAAAATTTGTGTTTATAAATGGAATTTCAAGATTAAGATAAACTGTTTATGAATACTTGGATAAATATGGAGTTTTCTAACAATGACAATAATCATCCAAATGATGTTTATTGTTTTTTAATTTAAGCTTACGTCGCGTTTATGTCCTAATGGGAATGTTTGTCCTTACAACAACTGTATGTCTAGCGCCCATACAAAAATTGGTAGGTCTAATACGTGCAATAAAGTGTGGAAATATATTGAGCCAGGTAAGTTAACTTTATTGGTCATAAAAAAAGTAACGCGGTGTCAACATCACATCACATGTAAATCTGGAATATTTGATCATTATAAACTCGATTGGTATAATCAGACGGGGAACCCCCTAAAATGTCTACGACAATCCATGGGCCAACGGGGGATCGGGTCATGGTGCACCCAACACAGTTAAACTTCCTTAATATTTTTTCTATTCTTACCATATAGAATAAGAAATCGAGTTAAAAAAAAAAAACATTTTGGAATGCAATTAGGTACTGGGGTCATATGTGATGGTCGTCAATGATAAGTAGGCCTAATAAATAAATATATAGTAGGCCTAATAACAATTTTGGGGTAGGGGTAACATTATTTGTGCTTGTTACTTTTAATTTCGTGTAGGTGTTTGTATAAAGAATGTATGGTTGCTTAATCCTTCCCAAAAATGTAAAAAGTCCAAACGAGTCATTAAACTTAGTATTACAACAATTCAAGCAAATACACGAAACACAAAGTTGAGGCTTCTTTTTATCATGTTTATATTATTATTAGGCTATTAATGGTAATGGTAATAGTTGGAGACTTATATAGCGCATAATACATGGTCTGTATACGCTCGGGACTAGATGTACATCAATGACTTTCTCCTCCCCTAAGTGTCACTTCATGTCTTCGGCAGCCAGTAAACCGGCGCACTTTCATCTGTCTATAACCATTATTGTTATTGTTATTATTACTATTCTTATTATTAATATTATTAATATTATTATTATTATTAATATTAACATTATTATTATTATTATTATTATTATTATTAACATTATTATTATTAGGCCTATTTTTATTATTATTATTATTAGGCCTATTATCATTATTAGGCCTATAATTATTTATTGCTTCGTTTGTTGATCTATAAGAGGCTTGTCCTTCCAAAACTAAGTAAGTAGCATAGGAATGTGGCAGTATTGTATACTTTAATACAAAGAAACATATTATTAACTCATAACTATTCCAGGAAATTACAATTTTAAGTTGTTTTGGTCACTGAGTTTTGAATGACAAATCTTCATATTTATTATTGTACTGTTAATATTACTGTTCTTCATGTTTGACCGCAACAGCAATGCTTTTGAGATTCAATTGTCTTCGTTGTTAATTTAAAGAAGATATTCAGTTCACACTGATAGTATCTAAAATGCATGATTGATTGAATAGACTGTATGCTTTTAATAATAAATACAGTATTGTTAACTTGTATTTTGCAATGAACGTAATCTGTTAGATATTTAAACAGGGTTATAAATTGGTTCTATTTTGGTTACGCCCATTTTTTATTTTTTGTGAAACACATCGTACAATTATTGAGAGTAAATATCTATGACCTGTGTATTTGCACAAGTTAAAAATCCTATAAATATTTAAGTCTACTTTTAATTACATACCTTTATTGCCTATGGTCTATGTAAAACGAATAGTTACGAAATGTGTTAGTAGATGTGATACCAGTATTACATTAAACCGGACATGAAAATGGTAGTGCTACGATAGTCATAGATGTTGGAAAATATTGTAAAATACTAAAGAATATGAAGATGACAATGCAGTGTCTGAAGTAATATCTGCGCCGGAGGCAGAACACCTGTTTAAAAGTAGAAATACATCGCATGTTATGGTAAAATTGAGGGGTTTTTTTTGTTGCTGTTTTATACCTCAATTACAACTAAGATAATTCGTAGTTAGAACTGCGCATGCTCGTACCAAGTTTCTTGCCACATAAACAACATAGGTTTATATCGATATGACCTTTAATGGGAGCAAGAAAGTTCCGACTACAAATTGGCTTAGGGTCTATTACCAATTGGGCTTTAACAATCACAACCAGCCACGACTCCTACATTGGCTAAGAGCTTTAATTTAACCATGTAACCAACTTAAACAGTGCGTTGTGGCTAAGCGTTTAATTTTATCCAATCAAATCGTTGCGTTTAAGCTAACCGTTTTATCCTATCCAATCAAAATAATGCGTTGCAGAAAAGAGCTTCATTGCTGCCAATTTGTGATTGTGGGTTTACAATTCCTACGGTCTGTTATAAAGTCATGTGGTTTGAGTATACTTTAAGAATTAAGCATCATATACAAATAACAAATCACTGTTTGATAGTTGATATAATATGACAGTGAAAATGCGAAATATCCCTGATCACATTGTGACTATTAAATTTAATGAAATTTAACCTGACGAGGCTATACAATTTATGTTGACAAAAACATGTAGCTTGTTTAAGTATGGTCCTGATGACATCACGACATGACCATATATAGGCACGTTATGACTATATATGGGCAAACAACATTTTTTATTTCAATAAACATTTTATTTTTGTGGACATATCTTTAGATTATTGACAGATAAAGAATGAAAAAAATGTTTTTGAAAAGAATAGTTCATATTCCAAATTAAAGCATTAAAGTCAAGCATACCTTCAGAATAGATGAATGTTTGATACAAACGTATCTTTGCAAAAATTAGATTGGATATTTTAGAACTGGAGGTAGAACGGACAGATTATTCTATTTATATTAGTTAAAATAGAAGACGACCATCATTTTGTACTAGTCTCCCCTTTTTTAATGAAGTTAAAAAGCTTTTTTACCAAATTTTCCTCAGCTGTTCTAAAGATACAAATGACCTAAAGCGCCCCAACGTTTAATAACGCATTGAGGAGTAATCAAACGTAGACAAACAAAGTGTATACTCTCTTGCGATATTGTCGAATAAAACAGCTATATAATATTATATGTAAATTATTGTTTTTTTAAAGTTTGAACCACTACAACAGATCATTTGAAAAGACACAAAGCTGCAAGCTGATTGGACTGCCATTTTACAAGCGTTTATTAAGAAAAAGAAATCATGGACGTTTTTATAGTAAAATGCTTAATTGCTGATTTTGTACATTTTTTTTACACCAGAGCCTAAAACAAAACTTGCAATTTTGAATGTAATCAAAATTTTAACATATGTTTTCTTATTTCATTTCTCACATCTTTCTTTTATAATAGGCTTAGTAGTAGTACATTGAGGAAAACGTCTATGCTAACAAAAATAAATATTTAATATTGATAGGAATTTTATTTTTAAAATGTGAATAATATGATCAGCACGATCAACAAGGGAAATATCTAACAAGGTTATTAATTCACTTTATTTATATAAATTATTTATATTTTTCTTATAAAATCGAGCTGCGGCCAAAGATATCAAGCTAAAGCACATTACATTATATCAAATGATTAAATCAAACTATTTTAATCTCAACATGTTAATTCGCATTTAGTATTGCAGATGATAAAACACCAAGTCGAGCATTTGTAAGTGCACTCGTGGCGTTTCTGTCGCGTTTCGTTTTCAGCATCTGCGTGGATTACACTCCATAATATGTTTCCAGCGCCACTGCAAATGCGTTTCATCGAGTCGGTAGCAGTGTACCTGAAGTACTGACGATTGATCTCTGAAATTGGTTCCAGTCTGTACTTGAAAACACTTTTGGGGTTTTCTTGTGCCTGAAATGACCAACACAATTGTAGCGAGAAATTAGATGTTATGCGATTGATCAGTCAATTCTCGGTGTCAAATATTGGACGCAATTTATTATTGCATATTTTTTTAAACTTGCAAAGTTACTAAGCTGTACCCGGACATTCAGTACACTTACTTGTAAAATTAGCCAAAATTGTCACTAAGTGGTACCCACGGTCACTCAGTACAATTACAGGAGATATTGTGTGCAGAGATATTACAAAATTAATTTTTCTGATCAGAAGTCAACAATTTCCGTCAATCAACAGTAATTTGTTATGTTATTATATATGATGCATGATTCTTAAAGTTGCTCAAACAACATGACGTCATGACCGTGGGAATAGCTAACAGTCTGAACCACAATCACCAATTGGCTGCAGCAATGCATTGTTTTGATTGAATAGGATGTGACGTTTAGCTACAACGCAGTGTGTTTTGATTTGGTTGCAATAAAGCGCTAAGTCACAATGATGGCGTCGTGAGTGGCTGTGATTGAAGGCAAACTATTTTTTAATAGAATATTCTTAACATTACAATTGGTAGTCTGTTTTGAGCAGACGACGTGGTGCCTAATGGGAATAATAAACGAGATTTAAACTAATTTTTAGAAACAGCAAGTGAATTTTCAAAAAAATGGAAACTCGCATTCTATGATGCGATTGTCTACTACAAAATATGTAAGCTCTATATGGTTGAAAGTGTAAAAAAATCAGTAGAAAATTTGAAAATTTAAGATACCATATCTCAACAATAAAATAAAAAACCTAAATAAATATTCAGAAAGGGGCTCTGTATGATGTTATTTAGGTTGACTAACTATTTATCTTGCACACTATATGAATGCAGAGTCGTACTTCAACAGGTTAAAGCATACGAAAGTCGGTTAGCCATTTTGATGGTTATTATATTAGGCCTATTATTATTATTATTATTATCAATACCAACTTTAAAGGTATTAATCAAAAGTGTATAGCAAGATGAAGCTTGCCAGACCAAAGAGGCCGAAAAACATGGTCAACTCAGAATACAGGCATTTGTAAATTATATCGTAATATCAAGATAGAAACTATACAACATTTTTTTAAAATTAAAATGTGATGGTTCAATTGTAATAAGTATGGCCGGCCGAACATTTAATCGAAAATATAGATATCTCTATTAACAATAGCGATATCCCTATTATAACAATAGAGATATCTCTATTGTTAATAGAGATATCTCTAATAATTTGGCCTGCCATAAATAAGAGATAACTCTACACAGTCTTCTTGAAAATGGGTTGATGAAATATTGGGAAAATTTTAGTACCGGTTCGCAAGAAACATAACGTTACACTTAATGATTGACAATATAATATATATATGAAAAATGTAACATTAGGCAAAATGTTCTACTTAAATTGTAAACAATATATATGTCAAGCATGGGCAAAAGAGATACCCAATAACATCAATATTACCTCCCTAAAATTATAAGATAATTCTTTTTTCTTTTTTTTTAAATAATCCTAACATTACAGTTACTATCATTTTCATGATTTTTATGATGACTATTTTTAATTTCTTTTTTGTTTAACCAAACTTTAAATGTACTCACGACGTTGTGTCCTTCTACGGCGAAATTTATCAGTTAACTGATGTGATGTTATCGTCATTACGTCATCGCAGATGTAGCGTGATGACGTGCGCCATCCGTCTTATGGTCAGATCGTCGGGGTCCGTTAACTGATGATGTTTACCACTCACTTAAGTGAGTACATTTACATTTTGGTTAAACAAAAAAGAAATTACTAATAAGGAGAAAGATATGAACGCAAATGATCACCGAATCAGTATCATATGATGTTTCCTCCTTATTTACTAATGTTCCATCATTGGATGAGACAATTCAAATTATTGCTGATAAACCTTCACTGACAACTGGTTTATAATGTCACATATGGACTCAACTTAAGTAAACCGGACCTCCTTACTCTTCTTAATATTGCAACTAAAGACCAGCTTCTTAAATTTCAAAGTAACTTGTATGAACAGATCGATGGAGTAGCAATGGGATCACCCTTAGGTCCACTTATGGCAAATGCATTCATGTGCAATATTGAAGAACGCCTTGAATCTAGCAATCAAATACCGAAATATTACAAGCGATACGTTGATGATACTCTGGTATTTATGCCTAACACAGAATCTGCCATGCAATTTCTTGACTTGCTCAACAACATTCATCCTGCCATAAACTTCACTATGGAAACTGCTGTGAATAATTCTATTCCTTTCCTATCTAACTCTAACAAGTTACACACACGCATTTATAGGAAGCCATCAGACACAGGATTACTTCTACACTATAGAAGCCATGTAGACAATAAGCACCAGGAGACACTTTTAATTACCATGTTGAATCGGGCCTACAAACTATCATCATCCAGCCACTTATTCAACGAGGAATGTAATCACCTAAGAAGGATTTTCAAACGCCTTGAATACACGGATGACCTCATCACTATTACTGAATAAATTCAGTAATAGTGAAGCCGACGAGAAGGAAATGCCCATCCGAATTATCCTACCCTTCAAAGACCAGAAATCTGCCAACTCAGTTAAGCGTCAACTACGCCAACTAAGCAACAAAATAGACCAAAACATTTTTCCTGTTTTCACAAGCAGAAAAATAAGTGACGAAATTAAGAAAACAGAAAGAAAATCTACATTCCTAAATCAGCAGTGTGTTGTGTACAGATTTAAATGTGGCTTGTGTGATGCAAGTTATGTCGGATAAACAAAGCGACACCTCTACCAACGTATTGCTGAACATAAAAGATTTCTGTTAGGACAACATGCTAAGGACCATCATATCAGCCCAAGCAGTATTGAGTCATGTTTCCGCATTTGAAAGAAATGTAGGGACAAATTTGACTATATCATTCATGAAATGCTGTTTATTAGACAATTAAAACCCAGTCTGAATAAACAATGTGTCAAAGCAAAGCTTTTTATCTAACACCGGGATTAATATCCCACTGTTATAAACTTTGACATTGTAGATTAGCTTTTTTCTATTGATTATAGTTGCTGTATATTCTAAACTTCATCCATTTGATCTTGAAAATGACACCATGAAGGAGTCGAAACGTCGATCTTTTCTTTTTAGCGTTATTTTTATATTAAATAAAAAAGAAATTAAAACAACTATTGAAATGAGATAACAAGTTTAATTTCTTTAGAGATATTATTAATACTATATTATGTGTTACTTCATTTATATGTGCATGTGTAAGAATATGTCATTTTTTATGCGTATACATACATATTTATATGTGCCTATATATTTACATACACCATTATTTATTTAAGTATATTTTCTGTTCATATTGTAAAATTTGTATAGCTATCATAATTTCATAAATCTAACCTTGATATATGGTACCTTTAATTTCATTATATTGTAACCAACGGGAATTCTTGACCAGAGTGGGTGGCAGGGTAGGCGAATTAATGTAATTTGTTTTAAGTAGCTCTTAAGTCCCTTTTTTATATTGTACTTGTATATGTTTGTATTTATTACTGAGTGCACCCACAAATGTTGAGTGTCACTGTTTAAAAAGTGATATCAAAATATATATATTGAAAGTTGAAATGATAATAATAATAATAATAATAATAATAATAATAATAATAATGAATAATAGTAAAATAATAAAAATAATAATAATAATAATAACAATAATACTAATAATATAATAATAATTCCAACCACGCGCAGAATAAATAAGAAAGCGTCTCTCCACTTTTTAAACATGGCTATCTTTCCTGTCGCATATTTGACTTCGAGACGCTGTATATGTACGGAATGTATAACAAAAAAGTAGGTCTAGTTAAAGTAAAAATGATGACGTACCAATGCTGTATCGTTGTAATCTGCAAGGCTGGATATATAACAAGAGTCATCGCTTTTGTGTCGATGGATGAGTAGTCCCTGTAAAATAATGAGAGAAAAAAATTAGTGTGTTATAGCTCAAACTATTCATTGTATACTGATTGGGGGCGCGCACCTTTCACGCCAAAGCGTTCGCGATTGTTCATTAGATAGCATGTTATTGTTTAGTGGTTTAATAGCGTCTTGAAACCGTGTTTTTTTTTTTAAATTTTTATTTAATTTTTTTTGTCAAGGTTCACCTTCGACATCATCATCCTAATCATTTACATCATTGTCATTATCATATCTATATTTCATCATCATTAACATACCGTACTTATTATCATTAGCATCATCATCATCATCATCATCATCATCATCATCATCATCATCATCATCATTACCTTTATCCCAATGTTTTCATGTATCTTGTAATCTATTATCTTGTGTTGTTATTATTAATAATATATTTATCTTTGTTGTTCTCAAACAATTTGCATAGAATACATTAATTAAACTATTGCATTTTTCAGGTACAAAATCACACGCTTTTAAAATGCCATGCAATTGTTTAATGCATAATTATTTAAACCGATACTTAAATGTACAAAACTACATGAACTTCAACAAAACCACCGCCATGTTTTTAGATATTGCCGGTAATACTTACATGAGTGAGGTCAGTGAACACTGTCAAAGCGCTGGACCCTTGTTGAGCCTCTACATCTATTATAATCCCGTCATCAGTTTGTTCCATAGTTTCAGTCAAAGTGCGCCCTTCAACATCGAAAGTTTTCTCAACCTTTATCAGTATTAAATAAAACGATATATGTGATTTCATTTCATTGATTCATAGAAATCTTTCCATCCCTGGCTTATGACCACAGACGAGTTTGGAAATCACATGGAAACTGAAAATATGGAACGTTTCGTTGAAAGGCAGCTATAGTATGCTTGACACGATTATTCATCGTGTTCCTATTCGAGCATTGTTGTTATTATTTATCTATTTGTTTTATCGTCTTTACTGTGCTACGAAACAAACCTATGAATATATTTTACTATGGTTTCCATGTATTTAGTTTTTCAGTCGGCTGCTTGAGAGAAAGTGCTTGGCGGTTAGATCTGCACATGTACCATAAGGTCTCCGTACACCAATGGAATGATAATCGCCTTAATAGCGACAAGTTGGCTCCAAACCTAATGTGAAACTATATATATATGTTCATTTTATGTCAAGCGTTGACAAAAGTTACAGGAGTAGCCGAAATATTCGCCTAAAAAATTTTAGTGTTTCTAAAGTCAACATCTTACGTATTTGAGTTTCTTTGCTGTTACGTTATATTATATTCTACATATGTTTCGAAACACACGTGGACACGCCTTCTTCATATATATGAGTATGACACAAGATGTGTATAAGAGAACGCATTTAGATATTATCCGTCATATCAAACCTAAAACAAAGATTATTTCAGACTTTGAGCAGTGATAGAGAAGGTTGCTTCTTATATAAAATTTAAACTTTTAAAAGTAGGCCTACCTTTAAAACAATCTAAAAACAAAAAACTTTTTATATAATAAATTCGAAATGAAAAGAAAACATTGTTAAGCAGACGTTGACTGCGGTATCAACAGTATTCTGAGTTAATTAAATGTGTCAGACTGGTCTTTACCTTGACCACCGGTTTACCCTTAGTGTCTGCAGGCGCACCATACACACAGGCAAGTAATAGACACATAACCACTGATTTTAATACTGTATCCATAGTCTAAAAAAAAAAGAAAAAAAATAAAACATTCAAGTCGAATTATGCAAAGTAACAGGCTAATTATTAGTACCTCAAATTTGTTACAAACACATAAAAAGGACAATGATTTATAGTTCCTGTTAGTTCTACTTTCGGAAATTTAGTTCGCCATACATTTGTTTAAAGTTTAGTTATTACATAGAACATCAATTAAATATAAATCATATAAAAGTGTAATTGAATCTACTGGCAAATAATTAGTTGTGCCAATTCATTAAAAATCTGATAGAATACAGAACAAAAGAATCTGAAAAACACACTTGTTTATCCTGCAAGTGTAGCTCTATCCCTGGTATTCTTAAGAATAAGGACATAAGACTTCTACCTAATCTTAAAAATTGATATTGAGTTAATGATTATTATCGTCCAATATTGCTAGTACTTGTCGTGAATTTACTTTCGTTTAACGACATTGGACATTATGGAGGTTGGATTTTCAAATGCTACAAAACCAAATTACTCCATAGACCAAAACAGTTTTATTATTGATATGTAAAACAGGAGATGGGTTCCGGGGTTTGATTTAAAATGATCCTAAAGCCAAAAATCACTTCTTTAGTTTTTCACTCGTAAATTTTCAATCGTTTATCTCCACATCGTTACTGTAACTGGGAATTTATAATGCGCCTTTCCGTCAGTTTGCAAAGCGCAAGCCTAGATTCCTCCAAATTTTAATTAGTTTAGCAATCGATCAATTACATCAGTTCCAGAAAAGAAAAAAAAAAAGGGAAAAAGAAAAAAAAATCATCTCAGGCCACTCAAAATACAGTCTATGGAACGCCATCAACATAACAAAGGCAAAACAATACAGTATTACCATTATAAATGTTCTTAATATCATTAGGAATGTTATTTCAGTGTTGGGCAGTATAAACTGAGTATGACACACTACCAATCCTCTTGCTACAATGTGGTACAATTAAGTGACGTGAAGAAGTTTATCGAGTATAGCCCGTCTTTGAACACGACTAGTTATTAGGATTGAGGATAAATAGGAAGGGAAATAGAAATGTATACCTTTCTAGACAGTACAAATGATTTCATAAAGAAAAAAAAAACACATCATGAAAGACACAATTTGATTGACTGATATTCATAAATTACTAAATTAATTATAACAAACCGAGGCCTGTAACTATACCTTATATTAGTAAATTTACTGACCTAGCTTGTTAATTCGTTTCATTTGACTATTAATAAAATTATTCAAATCGAAACGAAAGTAAACCTGTTCAATATCTAAAAGATTATGTTCATCTCAAAGGTATTATATTTACAACTCACATCTATTTTGAGAAAACGTATGGCTACAATGGTTTGGGCCAATTGATGCGCATGGCAAGTAACCGGATTCGCAAACTTCTCTATAATTGGAACCCCACACATGGAAAAAACAAACCAAAAGACCTAAAACCACATTGAAAGATGTCAATCAAACGGAATCTAGAAAAACTGGGGGTATAGGTGGTCTGTTAGGGAAGCAACGGTTGGAGCACATGACCGAAAAAGATATGGAAATTTTTCGCAAGTCGGGCAGTAAGTGAAGAAATGTATGATGCTGTCCAGTAAGTAAGTAAAAGTACAAGTTTAGTTTTAGAATTTAGTATTAATTTAGCATTAAAAGCCTATAGTGTAAACTTTGTCATCACGGTATAATCTGGAAACATACAGTAAAATAGACATAATAGATAACACACAAAATTAGAAAAATCTATTGTCAAAAGCATTAGAAAAAGTCAACTTACTGTTTAGGTACTGTATGTCAGTTTTGAGTCTCGATATTTTGTCGTCGGTGAGGGAATACTGAAACTTGTGTCTCTTTCAGAGTCCGACGGAGTATTTATACTATTCTGCTAGGAGTAAGAATGCGGATATAACATGTAATAAACATTATGCACATGTAGGTAAACTCCCGTATAGATTTTCCAGGGACCATTGGGTGTCATAGTCACTTAAAATTAAAGGTTTAATGAAGGCAACTTTTGTCCTTATAAGGAAAAGGGAATTTGCTTTGCTTTTTGTGTAAATGATGCGAATAAAAAAAATCAAGCCGGTATGTCAGCTGACGAGGTTATACCGTAGTGGCATCCGTAGATGGGGAAACAACATAAGGGGGAAACATGAGCAAAGAAACGCTAATGTTCCACTACTCAGTCGTCTATATTGCCAGTTGATCATGTGCGAGAACGCCATCTACCGTCCAGATGACACCACAATATAACATGGTCAGCTTTACTTTCTTTCTTTCTTTTATTGTTCTTTAAGCTTCGGGTCTATTCAATACAGAGTACTTGACGTCCTCCCATAAAGCCCAGCAAAACATAAGGATAGAAAGTTACAGATCATGGTAATAATAAACACTTTAGGAATAAAAAGTAATTATAATACTTACAGTAACATTAATGATTATAATAAAATAGGCTTACCACACTGATGACCATCAAAAATTACCATCAAGTTCCTTAATATTGCATCCTAATATATCAAGGATGTTGTGCACGATAAACCTACTAACCCATGGAATGTCATAGAGGGGGGTTTCCCTTTTGAGTACAGCAATTGCATATCAATCAAAGCTTCTAGCTGATATGGCATGATGTTGACTGGGCCGAGTTAACTCATTATGACCGATATAAACCATTTTCAACATATTTCCACATCTTCCTTCAAATAAATCATTAGTATTACAGCCAACGTCTGATAGACCTATTACTATAATTGGTATATTGGTAATTGGTAATTTTATTTTTGTAATTTTGTTTTTTAAAACCTATAAAGTTAAACTTTATAACAAACATAAGTTTTTTCTTAACCTATAAAGTGGAAACACACCGTAGGATTTAACATAATTAGAAAGCATGATATTAAAACCTCCACGTGAACCACCAAGTTGATACTGTTTATGTTAATTATTGTTTTATTGTGAGTTTAATCTTACGTCGCGTTATTTATGCGTTGCTTGTTTTGAGTTATATTTTACGTGAATTGTACACAGTACCTGGATTTCTATTGTCTTTACAGGATGGATTTTCTGTCTTCGCATTAATGGATTTAAACGTTACTTGCATGAAATTGTCCTAACGAAATATTTGTTCTTATGGCGACAGTTTTTTCTATTTTCGCCCAAATGGCCACCTATACAGAAATTTGGAAATCAATCGAATAAACGTTTATTCACATCCTTTTAAAATAATTAAATTACAACATGCATTTTTTTAATAAAGTAAATACGAGGATTTAATTATGTAAATTGGAAAAAAAAGAAGAATTGTAACGGAATAAGGAAAGACCCAAGAAGACGTGAGAAAAATAAATATTATTATGAACAGCCTCAAAGAGAGAAAAGAAAAAGATTAAGGTTAATTAACTTTATCGTAAACTCAGTGTCAACATCACGTCAGTTAATAAGCTAGATTATTTGATATATTATAGTATTATATATAAAAGCGACTACTGTACTCAGACAGGGAATCCCCTAAACTGTGTATGACAATCCTGGGGCCAAATGGGGTCATCGTGCACCCGACACACTTAAATAAGCTTTCTTATTGTTTTTTTTTTTCCTACTGTCATAGAAATAAGAAATAAATTTTAACATCAATCATTTTGGAATGCATTTAGGTACTGAGAGATGGTCGTCATTGCAGTGGCGGATCTAGAATTCAGCAATAGGGG